AGGAGGGGGAGGAGGGGGAGGAGGAGGAGGGGGAGGAGGAGGAGGAGGGGGAGGAGGAGGGGGAGGAGGGGGAGGAGGTGGAGGAGGAGGGGGAGGAGGAGGGGGAGGAGGAGGTGGGGGAGGAGGAGGAGGAGGAGGAGGAGGAGGGGGAGGAGGAGGAGGGGGAGGAGGGGGAGGAGGGGGAGGGGATGAGGGGGAGGAGGAGGTGGAGGAGGTGGAGGAGGAGGAGGGGGAGGAGGAGGAGGGGGAGGAGGAGGAGGAGGAGGAGGAGGGGGAGGAGGAGGAGGAGGAGGGGGAGGGGGAGGAGGAGGAGGGGGATGAGGAGGAGGGGGATGAGGAGGAGGAGGAGGGGGAGGAGGAGCGGGAGGAGGAGGAGGGGGAGGAGGAGGAGGAGGAGGGGGAGGTGGAGGAGGTGGAGGAGGAGGGGGAGGAGGGGGAGGAGGAGGGGGAGGAGGAGGAGGGGGAGGAGGAGGAGGGGGATGAGGAGGAGGGGGATGAGGAGGAGGAGGAGGGGGAGGAGGAGGGGGAGGAGGAGGAGGGGGAGGAGGAGGAGGGGGAGGAGGAGGAGGAGGAGGAGGGGGAGGAGGAGGAGGGGGAGGAGGGGGTGGAGGAGGAGGAGGAGGAGGGGGAGGAGGGGGAGGGGGAGGAGGAGGAGGGGGAGGAGGGGGAGGAGGAGGAGGAGGAGGAGGAGGAGGAGGTGGAGGAGGAGCAGGAGGAGGAGCAAGAGGAGGAGCAGGAGGAGGAGGAGGAGGAGCAGGACGAGGAGCAACAGGAGGAGGAGGAGGAGGTGGAGGAGGAGGAGGGGGAGGAGGAGGAGGGGGAGGAGGAGGAGGGGGAGGAGGGGGAGGAGTGCGATCAGTCGTTCGTCAGGCAATCAATCGTAAGATGATGATCAGTCATTAGATTATTATCAGTCACACGGCTGTCAGGTGACAGGCCCACTACAGTCACAGAGGTCACGTGACAGGTCTACTACAGTCACACAGAGGTCACGTGACAGGCCTACTACAGTCGTCACGTGACAGCCCTACTACAGTCACACAGAGGTCACGTGACAGGCCTACTACAGTCACACAGAGGTCACGTGACCGGCCTACTACAGTCACACAGAGGTCAGGTGACAGGCCCACTACAGTCACACAGGGGTCACGTGACAGGCCTACTACAGTCACACAGAGGTCACGTGACAGGCCTACTACAGTCACACAGAGGTCACGTGACAGGCCTACTACAGTCACACAGAGGTCACGTGACAGGCCTACTACAGTCACACAGAGGTCACGTGACAGACCTACTAGTCACACAGAGGTCACGTGACAGGCCTACTACAGTCACACACAGAGGTCACGTGACAGGCCTACTACAGTCACACAGAGGTCACGTGACAGGCCTACTACAGTCACACAGAGGTCACGTGACAGGCCTACTACAGTCACACACAGAGGTCACGTGACAGGCCTACTACAGTCACACACAGAGGTCACGTGACAGGCCTACTACAGTCACACACAGAGGTCACGTGACAGGCCTACTACAGTCACAGAGAGGTCACGTGACAGGCCTACTACAGTCACACAGAGGTCATGTGACAGACCTACTAGTCACACAGAGGTCACGTGACAGGCCTACTACAGTCACACAGGGGTCACGTGACAGGCCTACTACAGTCACACAGAGGTCACGTGACAGACCTACTAGTCACACAGAGGTCACGTGACAGGCCTACTACAGTCACACAGAGGTCACGTGACAGGCCTACTACAGTCACACAGAGGACTGTAGGTGAGTGGTGAGGACTGTAGGTGAGGACTGTAGGTGAGTGGTGAGGACTGTAAGTGGGTGGTGAGGACTGTAGGTGAGTGGTGAGGACTGTAGGTGAGGACTGTAGGTGAGTGGTGAGGACTGTAGGTGAGGACTGTAGGTGAGTGGTGAGGACTGTAGGTGAGTGGTGAGGACTGTAGGTGGGTGGTGAGGACTGTAGGTGAGTGGTGAGGACTGTAGGTGAGTGGTGAGGTCTGTAGGTGAGTGGTGAGGTCTGTAGGTGAGTGGTGAGGACTGTAGGTGAGTGGTGAGGACTGTAGGTGAGTGGTGAGGACTGTGGGTGAGTGGTGAGGACTGTAGGTGAGTGGTGAGGACTGTAGGTGAGTGGTGAGGACTGTAGGTGAGTGGTGAGGACTGTGGGTGAGTGGTGAGGACTGTAGGTGAGTGGTGAGGACTGTAGGTGAGTGGTGAGGACTGTAGGTGAGGACTGTGGGTGAGTGGTGAGGACTGTAGGTGAGTGGTGAGGACTGTGGGTGAGTGGTGAGGACTGTAGGTGAGTGGTGAGGACTGTAGGTGAGTGGTGAGGACTGTAGGTGAGTGGCGAGGACTGTAGGTGAGGACTGTAGGTGAGTGGTGAGGACTGTAGGTGAGTGGTGAGGTCTGTAGGTGAGTGGTGAGGTCTGTAGGTGAGTGGTGAGGACTGTAGGTGGGTGGTGAGGACTGTAGGTGAGTGGTGAGG